TGTTGAGCATCTTTTCATGTATCTGTTGGCTGCCTGGATGTCTTCTTTGGAAAAATGTCTGTTCTTGTCTTCTTCCCATTTTTATAAATTGGATTATTCGTTTTGGGGGGCATTGTAAGGGTTTTGATATATTTTGGATTCTAATGAATTATTCATTATGGGGGTTTTGTAAGTTCTTGATATATTTTGGGTACTAACCAAGGGGTTCTTCTTAGACTCTGTTAGACAGTCAAACACTCAAGACCCAAATCATCCACATTTGTCATTCAGATCCGAGGTTAGCAGGTAGAGAACAGCATGCTTGCGAGCACAGAGGTCTTTCTCCTCAGTGGGGGTCCTTGAGCAGTCTGTGTGGTGACTGAAGCTCCCTAAGTGGCAGCTCAAGTACAAGGAGACCAGATCCACATTGTGGGCAGCGTCTACCTTGGCTTGGAAGCCTCCTGCCCCATAGGAGATAATGTCTCTTCTAAAGACTCTGTAGATAGGGCTTTTAGGTTCCCAGTGACAAGAGTCACAGGACACAGAGAAGGCCAGAGCCATGACTTCCCTCCAGGTGTTAATACATCACTTAAGAATTTCTGGGCCACATTTAATTTTCAGTTGGGTTATTTTTACCGTAAGCCAAGGGTCAGCAAGTGTGTTTTTTCAAGGGGTCAGATCACAGATATTTTCAGCTCTGTGGGCTCTGTTGCAGCTACTCAACTGTGCATGAAAGCAGCCAGACAATATGCAAACAAGGGGTGTGGCTGTGTTTCATTAAAAAGTTATTTACAGAAAGCTACAGGTTAGATTTGGCTTCATAGTCTTGGTTTAACTTGTGCCAGAAACAATGCTGCCTCATAACACAACTGACATTCTACCTTAATCAGATTTGTAGGGAAACAGAAACACAAAGTTACCTGTGGATAAAAATATTCTTAGAGGTTTCATTTAACTTTTATTCAGACAAACAAGCAAACAAAAATCAGGATATCTTAAATTGTGATGTTTATTTAAACTTTTTTTTTTTAAAGATTTTATTTATTTATTTGACAGAGAGAGACACAGTGAGAGAGGGAACACAAGCAGGGAGAGTGGGAGAGGGAGAAGCAGGCTCCCCACTGAGCAGGGAGCCCGATGTGGGGCTGGATCCCAGGACCCTGGGATCATGACCTGAGCCGAAGGCAGACGCTTAACCACTGAGCCACCCAGGAGGAGCCCCTTATGTAAACTCTTTAACATTGTTACTGTCCTTGTATACCAGTGGGTTAATATTTTTCTTTAAATCTATTTAAATATGATTCACTGTTTTAACCTTAGCTTTAACCTCACTATCTGTGAATTCACAGGTTTGATGAGCAGTTATATTTTACTTTATACAGATGAAAATGAGTAACTTTAAAATATAAAGGAGTAGGGGCACCTGGTTGGCTCAGTCAGAATAGCATGCGACTCTTGATCTCAGGGTTGTAAGTTTAAGCCCCATGTTATGGGTGTAGAGATTACTTAAAAATAAAATCTTTAAATAAAAATACAATGAACTATAAAAGAGTAATTAATGAACCACCTAAAAATCTCCTCCCTTACCACAAAATGCTTTGCATTTTGAGAGACACTCCATAAGTAATAGGATAACTGCTATAAGAAAAAATGAACTGTGCAACTTATTTTTTCAGAAGGAATAATCTATATATTTTCCTCAGAAATAGTTACAAGTAGGGAAGTTCTCATATTTGAGTTGACATTTTATAGCTTCATGGTTTAAAACTCAGTCCTCTTCTAATTCCCTATGCATTTATTATAGTCCCTTTGCCTCTCTCAAAGTACAAACCTACCTCTTCTTATGTTCTTCATTCTTGTATCTGGCCATGTTTGCAAGGAACTGAAATGCACTCGTGGTCCCTGGAGTAAAAGGGGTCTCATGAAGCCCACCATAAGGCTAATGAAACCCAGCCCTTAGGCAACCCATGGTTTCTCTCTTGAGACCGTTCTGCTTTTCTTTATGGGCTGGCTTTTACTTACCTGCCAACTGGCTTCATCACCAGTATCCTTTCTGGATCTTTCTGGATATGTCTGGATTGCAAACATGCTCTGCATCGAAGCATCATGCTAATGACATCGTGATGATCCTTTTGGTCGCTGCCTCAATAACCAATGACCTCAAACTCTTGCTTTTTATCCCAACTTCTCAAGGAAAGACTTGCTGACCCGAGATGGACCAGATTTCTATCCCTCAAAGCCACAACTATGAGCAGGGTCAGGTGGAAGAGAAACTTCCCCAAATGTGGGTGGGACCCCTTTGAAAGGGGTGTGGGTAGGAAGATATTATAAATCAAACCTAATTGACTCTTACTCTCTCTTATAACCCCATCTGTTGTCTTGCCCGTCCCTGCCACACCATTCTGAGACCTCCGTTTATAACTGGCCCCCAGCTAGAAGCCCTGTGTCGGGAGGAGCACAGCCCCAGTGTGGCACAGCCCTGTGGTACTGTGGGAACCATTGCCTGCCATGGCCTGCGAATGTGTGGTCTCTTGTGAAGTCATCAATAAAGTGTGCCTTTTAATTTTGTTTTTACAAGGACACTGAGTTGAACTTCCTTGCAGAGAGCTTAAAATGTGATTACAGCAGCTAAAACAGGGGCAATTTCTGCTTTTTGTTTCTAAAACACCATATAAGAATATAGTCAATCAGTACCAAATAATTTGTTAAATAGATACCTAAATTTGAAACTAGTTTTGGGAACTTAAAAACTCAAACTTATTAAGATCTGTAGTTTCTTATGATTGTTATGAACTATAAAAATGGGGTGTGTGTGTGTTTAGATCACATCTTGCCTCTATGTTTCCATTTGTTTTTATATAGGAAAAAAAGCATTTTTTCAAAAACTCTTCTGTAATATTTGAAGATAAATTATAAAGACAAATATGACAGTTATTAAGTCATGTGTATGAAACAAAATTAAATTATCTTAAATAATGTTATGTGCATTTTATCACTTACAGGAGACAAAGGTGACCCTGCAAGTCAGTTTGGCTCACCTGGTCCAAAGGGTGAACCAGGTAGCCTTGGATGTCCAGGTATAGCCACATGTTTTTCTTATTAAAACAAAAAAGAATAGGGGCGACTGGATGGCTCAGTCAGTTGAGCGTCTGCGTCTTGGTCTCACCCAGGTCTTGAGCTCAGGGTCATGAATTTGGGCTCCATGTTGGGCTCCACATTGGGCATGGAGCCTACTTAAAAAGCAAGCAAACAAAACAAAACAGAATAAATTTAGTTCGAAAAATAGAGCAATTACTTTATACTCCTAGCTGGCAATACTTCCATCGGTATTTTCTTCCCCCCTTTACACACTAAGGTACATCCCGAAGGATTATGTATAAATGCTGCCACCACATCCGTGGCCCAGAAGGACATCAGGATTATATCCCAGGGATTCTCAGGCTTTTTCCACCATGGCTCACATGACCTATGATGTTGACATAACAATCCACTCCCCTTGGCATGCCCAGATTTTGACATGGTCAGAAATGGTTACGGCAAGCAACCAAAAGCTGAACTATTTCACAATCTCTAGAATTATAAATGATACATTGGCAGTAACCATTCACACTGACCACAGCCTCAGGTTGTCATTCCTGCCCTTTCTTTCCTACTCAGAAAATCATATGTGAATGCCAGTGAGGAGTGCCATTGTTGAGCTATCATTGAATATCTCGTTTACTAAATATCTAATTTACTAAAAACCAAACCAAAAAAAAAAAAAAGTAAAATTTCACCACCAACAATGAATCTAAATTGTTCAAAACGGTACTTTATCAGTGATGATTGACATGTAATCCCTCAGAACGGATTATGATGTACCTGTGATCTTTTGCCTTCCGCTCAAGGCTGTGGCTGGGCTACAGTACATGACCCATCGTTGATGAAATATACATGCCTTTTAGCTTAGTAATTTTACTTGTAAGAATTTATCTGAAGTCAATTATCAGACAAATGTATAAAGATACATGCACAGGAATATTCATTGCATGGAAAGAACAAATGCCATCCACAAATGATAGGTTAAGGAAGTATGCACGATCTCATTCAGCTGGTAGTGGATAGGTTTCGATGCGTCCCTTGTAAGTTAAAATATCTCCTATTAATAGTTTTGTGCATTTTTTTAATTTATGTATTTGAGAGAGAGAGGGAGAGTGGGAGGAGGGGCAGAGGGAGAGGGAGAGAGAGAGAATCTCAGGCAGACTGCCCACTGGGCTTGGAGCCCGACTCGGGGCTGGATCCCAGGACCCTGAGATCATGACCTGAGCTGAAATCAAGAGTCAGCCACCCAACTGACTGAGCCACCCAGGTGCCCATCGTTTTGTGCATTATCTTAAAATTGTCTTCGACATTAGTCATGTTTCATTACATACAACAGAAAGAATATATGAGCAGAAGTATTACCTGAAATTTTTGTTTTTATGCCATAAGATTGCTAAAATAGAAGTCCAACAGAAAAACAAGCTATTACAATGGCAAGAACTTTCCCACTCTCTTTCATATTGGTCTTTTCCCTCTGACATGGTCAAATAGATGTAGATAATATAGTATTTTAACCAAAGTGTGCAGCTGAAGTGTACATTTGGAGGGGAAAATAGTTTTGAGCTTAACATTATGGGGGTTCATAATAAGTACCAGAGTGAGAAAGAAGCCTTAAGAAGGGAAACCAGTGGTTCAAAGTCGGTCTCCATTATTACTGTCCGTGTGGTCTTGGGCAGGTTGCTTATCATCTTTGAGCTCAGTTTCCTCACCTGTAAACTGGCCCCATGCATAATTATAGGATTGTTCTGAGGATCAAATAAGATTCCTTGAAAGCAGGGGGTAAACTGAAAATTCCACCTTTACTGATATTTTTATGTAAACCATTAAGACAGTAAGATTTTATAAGCTGAAACTAGTCCAAAATGGAAGCCTTGGTATTACCTAGTATTTTAAGTGAAAAATTATAAATCTGAGTTATTTTACATTTAGGCTAACTTTTTCAAGAAAATTTGCCTTAGCCTAATTTCCCTGGTGCCCTGCAGTTATCACCATTTAATCTGTTCCCTTTCTCATATGCCATAGCTTTAGCTTAAAATTTCCAAATTACATCATATGTTATTCACCAGCACAGAGTTTACCTAAATACACAAGTTCCATTGACTGGGAAAAGCTGGGTTGATTGAATTTGAATGAGCCCAACGAGAAGGCATAGAGCTGCTGCCTGTCTCAGGGGATTTTAAATGATTGTACTGGGTTTAGTTCTACCCCCCCATCACCCCATTCAATTCAGCGAGAAAATTCGGCACAGATTAACTCAGAAGCTCTGTTCTTAACACAGGTGCAACTGGGGAGGCAAGCCTCAGTCTTTCCATTTGGAAATGAGAATAACACTGTTGTACCTTTACTGCAGGAATGTTTTCAGGATAAATAAAATAACACACAGTGAGGCTCATAGATCTTAAAGCTGATCAGGGACCAGGTATAGACTAACACAGGCTTGTTTCATGTGTGTTCTAATAAATAATGACTGTGCCTCCCACCACGGGTTTGTAACTCCAGAGGCATATATTTTATTTGCAGATTCAACTGGCTAATTTCAGTATGGACTATTGGGTTATCCTGTAAATCTGAATTGTATCAAAGTAATACATTGTAAATAAACAGGGGGAAATAGTCATCTTCTGTAGTAATCAAAGAAATGTAACTAAAGGAAGTCTGAGTTATTTTCTTCTTACTGAATTAGCAGGAAAACAAACCAACAAACTCACAAGTCCCCAGTGAGCGCAGGGCAGGCACTTACAGTTGCTGTAACCAGTTACACGCAGTGGTGTGCCTTCGGGCAGCACTTACCCAAACCACCTGGCCACCTCTGTCGAGAACAGAATGGTCTATTCTGAAAGACTAAACAGCAGCTGAACTGTTCTCGTCAGCAAGTCTCTGTCCTGAGATAGAGACTGCAGTAGATTGTTTCCTTTAACTTAAGGGACGTAGCCAGCAGACGCAATATGTGTTTCTGGAATGAGAGTCAGTGTGGAGAAACCAGCTGTGAAGGACATTAAGGGCCCAAGTGGGGGAACTCAAGTATGGAATGAGTATGGGATGATATTAACAATTGGTATTAATTTTCTTGGCTGCGATGATGTTATTTTGGCCATGTAGAAAAATGGTTTTTTCAGGCATACCTCCTGAAGTATTTAGGGATGGAATTCCATGATGCCTGTGATTTACTTTAAAATACTTCAGCAGCTTAAAATGCATAAAAATGAACCAAAATATAACCTAGAAATTCTATGCCTAGGAATTTTTCCTAAGGAAATAATTTGAGAAAAATGGATTAAAAATATATAAAGATCATTATGCATAACAGCAAAGAGAAATAACTTGAATGGCTAATAGTAAGAGAAAATTAGGTTAATTAATTTAATTAAGATTAACCCAATAAGCTATCAGCTGGTCATTTCAAAACAACAATTAGAGGGGTGCCTGGGTGGCTCAGTTGGTTAAACATTTGACTCTTGATCTCAGCTCAGGTCTTGGTCTCAGGGTTGTGAATTCAAGCCCTGTGTTGGACTCCACGCTGGGCATGGAGCCTACTTTAATAATAATAAGAAGAAGATGAAGGAGGAGGAGGAGGAGGAGGAGAAGAAGAAGAAGAAGAAAATAATAGCAAATTTGGAAAATTACTTATAATATGATGCTAATTTAAAAAATCAGAATATAAACTTGTGGGTCTTATTTGCACATTGTTATACACATGAGAAATTGTATTAAGGTGGTAGGATTAAAGGTGTTTTGTATTCTTCCTTAGTGTTATCTTTTCAACAAGTAAACAAGTACTACTAGAAAATAATGTCAGGTGCTGAAGTTGGAGGGGTTTTTTTGTTTGTTTGTTTTATTTATTTATTTATTTATTTTTTAAAGATTTTATTTATTTATTTGAGAGAGAGAGTGAGAGAGAGAAAGAGC